CTAACGACTGACTGATTGACTTTGGCCAATTACGAATAACCCAATCAAACCCCATGATTTTGATGAGAATCGTGCTCCACACCTTTACAGTACGCAGGGAACGACCAACCAATACCTCCCTCGTCCTTTACCCCACACCTTATGTGTATACAAACAGCGGGTCAAAGAAGTAATCACAGTGTTCTTTTTTATGCATCTATGAGAAGTACTTCTTTATGAATGAGGACAAGCTGAGAAAGATTATACAACAATCGTAAATAAACGACTACCTTTGAGCGTTACCGACAGAACATTTGAGCTTAATCCCCGAAAGAATGTTGATATCCATTATTGCCGTTATGCTCTTCCTCATGGACATATACCTCCAGCACACAGCAGTCTTCAACAAAGAATCCCTCCCAATTGCTGCCCATGCGGGCGCTTCAGTACCGAAGCTACAGGGGTCTTCGATTATTTTGATTGGTCAGCAAAGGTCTCAATCATGAAGATAATCGACCAGTGGGCGAAAGGTCGAAGATATAATCGAGAATGAAATTCTTTCCTTAATAGAATCACTGTATTAAAAACGATATATGCTTGCATAGCATGTGCGATATCTCCACCATTTTGCCTCAAAAATGCCACTTTTTAACGATGTGACTGGAATACCAAATTGGCATTCTTTTAAGCATTCTTTCCATGATGTTACCTTACTTACGCATAATAGGCATTGTAATTGCATGCGTCCACTGCTAACTATAGCAAAGCAGTACCAAAAATCACTCAGTTATTTATTATATTAGGTTGTCCCAAAAGTAAACTCCTTTTTGAATACTCAAGCAGTTTTTGCTTTCTTAGTAGACTTAGGGTGTCATTCGATAGAACAAATCAAGTTCTGCAAAACGACCACCAAGGGACCGTTTAATTCGCATTCTACGTAAAGTTTGAAGCCAAAATAAAAAATTTTGTCACCTGAAAATTGGATTTAAGAAAAAAGCCCTACTAACCTTCAACTTGGTCAATAAACAGAAGGCGCATAGTAGTACTCAAATATGCCTCTAATGGATTTTTCCGCTCATAAAAGACGAGAAATTGAACATAGTCCAAAAACAGCAAGCTCCGCCCCCATTCCTCCCACATATGTCATCACCTGCCCTTCTGATTATGGTCTTAAAATCTGACTCCTGTATGTGCTCTTATGACCGAAAAATACCAAGTTAAACATGAAAAACCCGAAAAAAGCGGCATTTTGACATTTTTGGACCACCTCTATTTCTCAATTTGGACCCAGGAAAAAATCCACCAAATACATTTTTGGTACTACTATGTGGCTATTATATAGAGTGCGACTAAGTTGGAAGTCCGTCGAATTTTCTTAAAGGAGATCCGATTTTTAGCGTAGCTGAAAAAATTTGACTTTTGGGTCCCAATTTCATTTGGGTTATGAATTAGGTGGATCTTTGGTAGTCCTTTTGTAGAGCTTGCTCCGCTCTACCGAATGATGTTCTTAATCTGTCAAAAAAACATAAACAGCTCAAGTTATTTGAAAATGGAGTTT